ACAACCAATAGGTGATGACAGTCTGCGATTAACGGTATAAACTACCGTTGACAGAGCCTCCCCCCAAAACTTATCAGGGAGATTGGCATCATGCAACATGGTTTTCATTCCTTGCAGCAACGTTTGATTTGCTCGCTCCGCAAGCCCATTCATCCATGGCGATCTAGGCGTTGACATGTCATGCTGGATTCCCTTCTCAGTCAGGAAAGCTTCAAACTGCTGAGAAGTGAACTCCCCGCCCCGATCAGAAAACAGACAGCCGATACGTTTACCGTGAGCATTCTCCAGCCAAGCACAGAATGCTTTGAACCTAGGAAACGCTTGCGATTTCTGCTCGAGCATAAACACATGAATGTACCTGGAAAAAGAATCAATTAGAACCATGAAGTACCTTGCTCCTCCCAAAGAGGGCGCAAGAGGACCAACCAGGTCTGCGTGCACTAGCTGGTAGGGTTTGGAAGCCTGCCTGCTAGACTCCTTGCCTTTTGGAGCAACCTTCACCTTGTTCTCTGCACAAGATACACATTTCATGTGAAATTTACAAGGTTTGATGTTCAAACCTTCAACCAATCCTGGCATCTTGGCCAGCGCTTGCCAAGACATCTGACAAAATCTTCGATGTGCATCGTGAATGCATCCTGCATGAAGAACCTTGTTAGTTTGTGCAACACAACAAGAATCAGCATTAGACACAACAGCATTGTCATCATAAGTTATACAGAATAAACCATCTATAAATTTTGCATGCAAAATGTCCTCTTTGCCTTTCCTGATGACACAGACATTCTTCTTGAAGGAAACCTCAAAATCACGCAGAATCAGCTGTGGGACACTCAGCAAATTGTCCGCAGCTCCTGGAACACACAGTACATTACTGATGGTTGTATGCAAACTTGCAAGTTTCACAGTCCCTTTTCCTGCAATTTGCAACGTCCTTCCATCAGCCAGGTGGATCTCTCCTTCTTGAGGTGTGAAGGAGATAAACAGGTGCTTATCCTTCGAAAGATGACGCGTGCACCCCGAATCCACAACAAACCTGGCTTTAGCCTTTGGAGCAGTCTTTGCAGCAAGCAAAACCTTGTTTTCCACCGGCGTGGGCTTTTGCCGCTTGCCCCCCTGCTCCTGGCCATCAAATTTGCCTTTAGCCTTTGGTGAAGCCGTGCCAGCAAACAACGCTTTGTTTTTCCCTGGCGTGGGCTCTTCACCCCCCTTCTGCTTCGGGCCATCTGCAGGCATCTGTCTTTGTTTACCTCTGGCCTTCCGGCCTCGGCAAAGGCGATGACCTTGGTTCCCACGAGAAACAGAGCTCTCAGCTGCCGACTCCTTGGCTCCCCCTGGAGGCTGGAATGCTGCCTGGAATGACATCACAGTCTGCTCCCCCTGCAGCTTGCAACCGGTGCCCTCAGCATCCCTGCATTCATTCGCATTCTGGGAAACAGCCAGGACCTCCGATGCATTCACACTCTGGGCATTCAGACTCTGAGCTGGGATGACTGGCAGATGGGCAGCTTTCAAAGCATTCCACATCTCACGTGCCGTCACGTTGCCAGCAAGCGTAGCAATTTCCTCCAGAGAGACGGATAAGACTATTATGTCAATGGCCCTCGAATTCTGGGCCTCCCATTTCTCTGTCAGAGGATCTGGGGGGCTTGAGACACAGTATGCCAGACTCCATACTGACGCAGCAAACTCTCACACCATTTTGCCCAGGTCTGATAATTGTGCCGATTTAACTTTGGGCACTCAGCAGCTTCAGAAGCTTCAAAAGCGTGGAAAAACTCCATTCCAGCTTTTTACTTGAGCCGTGAGCCTTTATGCCTTCAAAAACTTCTTATCGTGGCAGCTCATTAATCACGATGCCTTTTGGCTCGGCTCCCAGGCCAATTAAGCCTTGCCGGACATCAAATGCTCTTGCCGGGGCCCACAGAAAAGCCTCTGCTTTCGCTTTTCCACATACCTCAGCAGTCTGACGCAGTTGTCTTACTCTCCTGTAAGTGCCGTGAATCTGGGCCCGAAACCTTGTTGTTGGGATACTGCCAGGGAGATAACATCCATCTGAGCCCCCAAGCCGGCTGCCGGACGATTCATCGGCCTCCCGTAGTCACGCAGTCACGCAGTATCAGCAATTAGCGGCACAAAGCCTTTGGAAATAGATTGCCACATTCCTAGGCTGGTGCACACTCTTTCAGCAGAATTCACACAGCAGAAGTTGCACAGCAGGAGAGCATATTTACAGTTTATTCAACGTTGGTCAGAGCAAACAGAAGACATGACCGTCTGCTTCAGCGTTCAAGCACAGACAGAGAAAACGAAAGCAATAGCAAACATAAACATCCTGTGAACAGGAAATACGCAGACTTTGTGACTCACAGCCTGCTCCCTCTTAAGGTGGAACGGAAATATCCTAACAGAATGACCACTGGGAGGAGCACAGAGAGAAGGAACGCCACAATGCATCTGCAGCAACTCTACCAGATGCCTTCATGTGCCCTAGCTGCAGCAAAACATGCCGCTCCCATATTGATCTCTACAGCCATAGCCGGCGTTGTAATTCTCCAATGGTTTGACTTCACTCCGATGGGCGCACTCCTCCATTGTCTCCCAAGACAGATGGATGCCAGCAATAGTTGATGAGCCCCTAAGCTAATGAGCAGAAGGGATCCCCACAACCTTCAGGCTTTTATCCTACGAACTGGGAACCTGCCATCAGACTCTCTCCAGTTGCAGATGTCTGCAAGAGTCGGCCTATCCTCTCACAAATGTGTTTGCACAGACCTTGGAACATGTTCCCGAGCAGTGTGACTCGTGGAAGATAAACAGTAGTGGTTGAAAACTACCAGTCAATCTCCAGGATCCCAAACGATAAGGGGCTTATTTTAGGAAGCTAATGATTGAGGGTATGGGGAGAGAGATAAGCAGGACACAATATTAAAAGGGAATATAAATTCAACATCTAGCAAGCCTAACAGTTTGAGCAAGCTGCCAAGTTCCACATATATGCCAGACGTATTAAACTAGCAAACAAAAAGATTACCTCATCTATATCTTGTTTGACACTGAGGTGGACAGGCAGAAGCCGAACCAATCGGGAATCTGGATCAACATGAGGTAGAGCACCAAAGTCTTCAGAGATGGGGATGTGAGGGTGATTGTCACTGCCCAGAGTAGGAAAGAGGTACAAACTGGAAGGATCTCTGGAAGTTCCTGTCAGATATATTAAACTGAAGAGAAAATACTAACGTTTGTCAGCCCTGACTGGGACTGAAGGGAACTGTAGTCCGAAAAATCTGGAGGGCACTAGTTTGAGACTGGCTGTGCTATTGTGTATTAGAAGTGTAGATGGTTGAGATGTGTCTATTCCATATTTGAGCAAAGGAATCTTTGCTCTAAGGCAGTGGCTCTCCAAGTATTTTTCCCATGGACCACTTGACAATTGCTGAGGGTCCAGGCAGACCACTTCATGATATTTTCCTGACTGCTGTAGCAACTGTTAGATGCTGCATGGGTTCTAGTTATGTGTTTATTGCTTCTTTGTTTTCTTATATTGTATTTTACTGCATTATAATTTGAATTCCATAGAATTCTTCAGAATTGAAATTGTAAGTGTTCTTTACAAACATGCCACGGATGACCTGAAGGGAGCTCGTGGTTCGTGGCGACACGTTGAGAACCCTTGCTCAAAGGAAATCAGCAACTGCGAGAAAAGAATTCTCACAGCTTGAGTCAGCTAAGGGACACTGTAATGCATTCACAATTTTCTGCAAGGTGCAAGGGAATGGAGGAAGAGAAAAATATATATAACATTCAATGGCAGCCAGCGTACAAATTAAAACAAATAATCAACAAAGTATTAATTGCAAAAGAATGTTGAAGTCTTCCTAGCTCTTTAACAATACTACATCTTGTATTATTATTTTTAAAAGCCACATTTTTATAGCGCAGATGTCAGCCTTAAAACACTCATATGTTGTTGAATTTATTCTAGAACCACAGAGCTACAGAATGCTAAATAAAGATGAGAGATAGGAACACCTTATGGACTCCAGTTATAAGAGCTGCTTAAATATTTGTAAGCATTTAGCATAAAACAATAAGAGACTTCAAATGATCTTGTACACAAGCCCACTGCATCCTACTGATATTTCAGCATCAAACCTATATATATACATACACATCACGGTTGGGCAGAAAGTATCTGCAATTCACTTGTGGGCCACCGACTTTCAAATACAGTCGTGCCTTGGATCTTGAACGCCCTGGAACTCGGACGTTTTGGCTCCCAAACGCTGCAACCCCGGAAGTGACTGTTCCGGTTTGCGAACGTTCTTTTGGAACCTGGACGTCCAACGGGGCTTCCTCAGCTTCTGATTGGCTGAAGGAGCTTCCTGCAGCCAATTGGAAGCCGCGATTTGGTTTTTTGAACGATTTGGAAGTCAAACGGACTTCCGGAACGGATTCCATTTCGACTTCCAAGGTACGACTGTAGTTAACAGAATGCTAGCACAGGAAAACAAACCTCGGTCTGATTGACCAGGGCAAACCTGATGTTTGCTTACTCTGAGTGCCTTCTCAAGATCACTTGACCAGTTTAATTATGCCTTAAATGCAAAGAGTTCCTGAGCCGGCACTTCATAAACTTCATAAAGCTAAACACATATTGATTATTCAAGGGGATTCTAGTGAACCAAACACAAAGCAGAATTTGCAATGAGAAGCCAGCCCAATTCTCCCTGCACACCAGCCTTCCTTACTCATGGTACCCTCCAGATCTTTTGGACTACGATTCCCATCAGCCCTAGCCATTGTAGCCAGTGGTCAAGGATGATGGGGAGTTGTAGGCCAGAGCTTTTAGAGGGCACCAGGTTGGGGAAGCTGATATACAGGACCTAATGGGCTAGCATCTCAGCCTTTGCAGACTGCACACTACTGTGTTTTCAGTCCTCAGCTTCAAAGGAAATACTGCTGAATTTAGTCAAAGCTGCTGAAAGGGTTTTTTTGTGTGTGTGTGATGTGTGCAGAGTTAATTGCAAAGCACTACTTTGGATAGAAATGATATCTACCTTGTAGACTCTCTTTCTTGACCTTTACTCCCCATGTGTGTCAGATTTCCTATGCGGCTTTATAAATAGTGGCTTGTTATCATAAACAATTACATCACACAGTGTACGAAGGCACCCTACAAGCTGCCAGCTTTATTAAGTTAATAATAGATTTCAAAGTGTGAATCCTAATTAATTTCATTTTCCATACTCACACAAGGCTCCATGGGAAGCCAAAATTATAGAGTAGCCATATGGTGCCTCATAAGTAATAATTAAAACTAATTTCCTAATCTTCACTCGGTAAAGGAGGGGAAAATACAAATAGTTTTCAGACAATGGAGAAAATGAAACTTTGGTGGTCATAACTTCAGTCATCTTCCGGAGAGGGAATCTTGCTTTTCCCCATTTTTAGTTTTTACTTGTGCCACGAGCCAACTTCGGAAGTTGATAAAATCAAAATAAACAGCTGCTCTGATTCTGACAATGTGAGCTGGTGATCTAAGAGAACTTAAAAGATCAAAGGCATTAGGCACAATTCAGAGAATAAGGTCATAAAAACATGGGAAGAACATAAGAAGAGCACGCTGGATCAGGCCACTGGCCTATCTAGTCCCTTCATCCTGTTCCCACAGTGGCCAACCAGATGGCCGTGGGAAACTAGCAAGCAGGATTCTCCCCTCCTGTGGTTTCCGCCAGCTGGTATTCAGAAGAATTGCTGCCTCCAACTGTGACTAGCAGCCATTGATCACCCTCTTTGTCTAATCCATCTTTTAAAGGCATCTAGGTTGGTAGCAACTGGAATGATAGGGTTCCAGTGGAATCACCAGGACTTCAGTGCTTATCCAGAGGGTGTTCATATGAACTTGTTGCTAAGGGAGCAGGGTTGTGCCCAGCTTCCACCCCTACAACACAAGAGCAGCCATGCCACCCACTGGTTGCACATTGGAAGAGTGTACAGTGGTACCTCAGGTTAAGAACTTAATTCATTTTGGAGGTCTGTTCTTAACCTGAAACTGTTCTTAACCTGAGGTACCACTTTAGCTAATGGGGCCTCCCACTGCCGCCACGCAATTTCTGTTCTCATCCTGAAGCAAAGTTCTTAACCCAAGGTACTATTTCTGGGTTAGCGGAGTCTGTAACCTGAAGCGTATGTAACCCGAGGTACCACTGTACCAATATACACCAATATACCAATATTCCCTGTTCAGGGAAGTTTTTAATTTGTGACATTTTAATGTATTTTTAATCTTTGTTGGAAGCCGCCCAGAGTGGTTGGGGGAACCCAGCCAGATTTTGGGGGGGGGTACAAATAATAAATTATTATTATACATGCATAGACATCCTCCATGTGGGAGAGATCCTCACCAGGTCTTCTGAATGTGTAGATCAGTGTTTCCCAAACTTGGGTCTCCAGCTGTTTTTGGACTACAATCCACATAATCACTGACCACTGGTCCTGCTATCTAGGGAAAATGGGAGTTGTAGTCCAAAAACAGCTGGAGACCCAAGTTTGGGAAACGCAGATGTAGATGTTGGTAGAGTGGCTGCCACTCCCCACATCAAAGCTTGAAGAACAATCTTTATACGTCATAAAACTTGCACCATTCTTGCATTTTGCCCAAGGAAAGCAAGCGTGCTCCTGTCATGCAACACAGTAAGTCAGATATTAGTTTGTACAGTAAGTGTGATATATACTCATGAGTTAATGGCACTAAGCTTCTATTATTACAGCTTTTAATGTAATCAATCATGAGCTAGATGAACGAGTGAATGCTGGAATGAATATTATCTCTGCTTAAACTGCTGGAAGCTGTTAATGGCTATCTCAAATAAACCGGCTTTTGCCACGGAAAAACCAAGATGTGAGCTACCATCCTCAGAAGTTACGAATCAGCATAGTAAAAATTGGGTGAAATCACGGAGTCAGGGAAGTGGTCTTCCAGAAAGGGCAACATCCTGTTAAGGCCAGAGATCCCTGTACTCGTGATCACAACATGCTTGTCATTAACTTTCAACAGAGGAAACAGAGAAAGGTCTGAGTAACTTCTCAGAGGGCTGAACAACTAGATGCAAGAAAATTGTAAGAACTTTGGGGACAAAGATGTCTTGGGGCAAAAACCTCTGCAGCATCCTAAGAAGCAGTCCATCAGCATCCCATTCCACCATTCCTCTGTACAGTGGTACCTCAGGTTAAGAACTTAATTCATTCCGGAGGTCTGTTGACCACCACCATTATGCTTTCCATTTTTAAGTTTGGAATAGAGTACAGTGGGACCTCGGGTTAAGTACTTAATTTGTTCCGGAGGTCCGTTCTTAACCTGAAACTGTTCTTAACCTGAAGCACCACTTTAGCTAATGGGGCCTCCTGCTGCCGCTGCACGATTTCTGTTCTCATCCTGAAGCAAAGTTCTTAATCCGAGGTACTATTTCTGGGTTAGCAGAGTCTGTAACCTGAAGCATCTGTAACCTGAAGCATCTGTAACCCGAGGTACCACCATACTGCTAGAATGGCCATCTAGTTAGTCAGAAGCCCAATCTTCGGAAACTCTCCTTTGATTATTTTTTAAGAACTTTAGCTGCAAATTGCATTACAAAACATAACAAACAAATTTGTACACCAGAGTTCCTTACGGAAACACTTAAGGATGTTGACAGAAAGCTTAACAGAGTCATGCATTTTCTTAACGGGCACAACAAAAAATGTAGATAGAATCTTTCATCATACTTGCGAGATATTGTGGTTCGAGGACCCGATCCCCCCAAAGTGGAATGAATACACAAGGACACGTGATATAAGGTTAACAGGCAAGAAAAGGCCACAACTTTATTGATTACAGCAAGTGAAAAGGTATTGGTTTAGGCATGGGATTATGTCAGCTGACTCCACCCCCTCAGAGAGGGGTGAGTCTGAAACAAGGGGGGTTTATTCACCAGTAGGTGGAGCCTGTTGATGCTAATCCAACTATAGGCTCTCCCCTGATGTCACCGAGGGTCGTGCTATGGCCTCCCGCCACGCAGGCATCGGACAGAATACACGACCGCCGGATTCCTTTAACGGAATACCCAAAAATTGAAGGCACAGGCGATGGCCACACCTAGCCCTTCGACACCACAACACATTATTCCAATGCCTAACCTACCCACCAATACCACGAAAGTTGTGACGATTGCTACGAGGTAGGCGAAAAAAACAAAAAGCCTAATGCCAAATGGAAAAATTCCTACCAGCCCCCCCGGACAACCAGGGTGACCAACCTAAGGTCCATAGCAAGGCCAAGGAAAACTAAGACCCTGAGCTCAAAGGGAGTGGAGGGTGGGTGACTTGCGACGGGACGACGAAGAGTGAGGCTGAGGCGGGGCTGGCGCCGCAGCATTTAGGCTGCTGTACACGCCCCCTCGGAGGCACCTGGTTGGGTGCCTGCCGATGGGCGTGGGCGCCAGCCAGGTGAGTGGGAGGCAGGGGGCTAACGCCCCCTGCTAGAGGCGGGGCTCGGGATCCCGCCCACAACCACTCCCCTCTCTTCCAGGAGAGTCTCTACTGGGTGAGGAGGCCTAAGTACATTTCTAGTTGCAAACATTTGTCATGTTCAGTCTTTATTTGGACATTATTCCAAAGATGTGTATATGCAAGATGTTGCATACTGTGGTATTGTATTATGACCCAAAGCTTCCAGGCTTTCTGTAACACTTTCTAAGCTTATGGGTTTATTCAGCCCTTCACTATGCTGTTGTACACTCTAGTTCACTCTATGTCTCAAGGATAATGAAAAAATAAGCCTTTGCCTCTCTGGGAATCTCATGTGGGACAGTGAATTTGCTGGTTGCAGAAGTGTAGTCGGCTTCCACCTTATGGTTAACAGGTCAATTTGCAAATAACCAAAGACTGCAAAAACAAGATAAAGTATCCAGTGAGCACTTATTCCGAAGAGATGAAAGCTGGGTAAGTGCTGCCCTTGAACTTCTCACTGCTCAATTATTTGGGGAATGTGAAATTTAGGGTCCTCATACTTCTTGAAATCAGAAAGGAGAAAGAGACTAGACCAAATATGGTGTCCCTGTTCGCTTCCACCCTCCTTTACATTCTGATATTTTGCTCTCCTCTTCCATTATGTTTCCCTTTCTTTGTCTGATACAGAAAATGATAATAATAAATAAAATCTCTCCCGGCTTCTGTCAGGGGACAAACAGGGGAGCACCGTGGCCTTTGTGCCCTAATTTAACCTGAAGAGAAGAAGCTGGACCAGATGAGGAACAAAAGAAGACTTCCCACCTGGATCAGGCCAAAGCCCACCTAATCCAGCATTCTGTTCTCACACTGGCCAATTGAGATAGGAAGCCCATAGGCAGGACCTGAATGCAACAGCTATGAATGGGTGAACTGGACAATTTCAGTTTTCTATTTTTCAGTCTTAAATTTGGTCCTTCACATTTCCACCTCCAGGGCATGATTTCATATTTATTTAAAAGGCCTCATGGAAATTCATCAGCATTTTAGCACCAAAAAAAAATGCTTTGTAATGCAATTTTGCCTAAAATACACACATGTTTAGGGAAGTTTTTAATGTTTGGTTCTATTTTTAATATTCTGTTGGGAGCTGCCCAGAGTGGCTGGGGAAGCCCAGCCAGATGGACGGGGTATAAATAATAATAATAATAATAATAATAATAATAATAATAATAATAATAATAATATTTTGCAAACCAGTGTTATCTAGCTGACAGTTTTTTTACAAAGCATTTTTGCCTGCATAATGGTTCTTGGTTCACTAACGCAGACTTGTTTTTGGTCCAATGCAGCCCATATTGGACTAGACCAGTGGTTCCCAACCTTTTTCTGGCCATGCCCCACCTAAGCATCTCAAAAATCCTGATGCCTCACCCCCGGTGACATATAATTCTTATTATTCAAAAAATGATCTCCTGTGGGAGGAGAAGCCTAAAAGGCCACCATTCACCGTTAATAACACATTCTCGAATTGCCCCCCTGTGGGGCGTGTGCCTCACGTTGGGAACTATGGGACTAGACAATCTTCAGCCCTAATTTATATCCTGCCTTTCACAACATGGTCTCAGGGTAGGGCACAACATCTCAAAATGCATTCAACAAAGTATCAATAAATTACACTAAATAATAAAACTCGATTTAAAACGAAGCAGTACAAATTAAACATATGCCTCCCTTACTTGGGAACAACTGAAGGCTTCTTCACATACCTTATGCATGAGGGGACTCCACGAACAGAAGGGGGAGTGGCCCAATTCCAAAGTCATGCCAGACTGTGCCCATTTTCCCTCCTCCTAAACGCTCACAAAGAACTAATATTAAAACAGCTGCTCTCCTATGGCTTTGAATCCACTCAATTGCCCCCCGCCCGCCGCCCCCCCCCAGCTACGGTTACACCAGATTAATAAGGGACAATATTGTGGTTGGGGAGATATGAAAAGCGTCTTGGCGAGTTCTCGCTAGATTGCTCTTCAAAGCAAATTCGACACACAGCCTTCAGGACTGGTGTTTTAAAGCCAATTTTACTGGGTAAATGAGAAATGAAATGAGATAATGTGTGCAATAATTGTCTTCTAGTTCATTACCGCTCTTCAGAAACCCAAACGTGTACAATCAAGTCATTTTCTTGAGCCAGGGAGATTGCCATGTTAAATGCCTATGTCTTTCTCCCCACCCCCACCCCGCTCCCGCCGCCACCTAATATTAACTCAGCAGACACTTACAGGACCTGGTACATCTACCTATGAAACATATAAGCAGCAGGAATTAAATTGAGGTTAGCTTCTTAGTTACAGCCTGAAGCAATGTTGGAGTATCAACACAGTCCTGGTTTATTCTTTATTTATTTTTCCTACAAAGGGAATTGTATTAAAAAGAGAAATGGATTACTCCTCTCCTAAAATCCAGCCCCCTGAGCATTGAGGATTAATGGTCCATGTACAGTGAGAAACTCCACCCTCTGAGAAAGAAGCTGCAGGTCTCTTATAAAGGCCAGATCTGAATTAGAGGAAAACAAAGAGTAAGAACTTTCCAGAGAACAGCATTGGCTGCGGACTTGGAACATGGAAAATGTGTGTGCGAGCGTAGGAAAATCAGAACATGTGTGAGGTTGAGTAATCATCTCTCCTAGAATAAAACAGCTCTCCTAGCCCTCTCCAACAAAGCGCTAGATAAAAGCTTTAGCCAACCGTAAAGAAGTAGCAAAACAGTGGCTGGCAGAAGCACAGCAAGTGACAGAGGTCGCTGCCAGCTGCATCCACGTGCAATCGTTTCTCCCTGCATTTCTGCATGCATCGCATGGAGGACATAAGCGAGGCTTTCATTGGACGCTCTAACCCTCCCATGACTTAAGCATTTAACTGTGCAGTTTAATCCCACTTACGGTAGTGGGACTTAGTCATAACTGACTTTCATTGTGCACAATGAGCCTAAGCCAGTGTGACCCCAGCAAAAGATTGCCGGCATCAAGCCAAGATGTCTGTGTGTCTCCTAGCTCAGACACGGACAGGGCAAACAGCTATCCCCTTCCTACCTGTACTACCTTCTCACCTGTAGGCACCTGTACTTTCCCAAACACCTCTCCAGAGTATCGGAGTGAATGAATTTTATTATTTCGGTCACAGACCAGTACCAGCCCACATACAATATCAAGGAAGTCATAAAACACAATAGGGATACATTTGAATTTGCAATTAGGTATAACAGGGACAAGGGACGCGGGTGGCCCTGTGGGTTAAACCACAGAGCCTAGGACTTGCTGATCAGAAGGTTGGCGGTTCAAATCCCCACGACGGGGTGAGCTCCCATTGCTCGGTCCCTGCTCCTGCCAACCTAGCAGTTCGAAAGCACATCAAAGTGCAAGTAGATAAATACTCCGGCGGGAAGGTAAACGGCGTTTCCGTGCGCTGCTCTGGTTTACCAGAAGTGGCTTAGTCATGCTGGTCACATGACCCGGAAGCTGTACGCCGGCTCCCTCGGCCAATAAAGCGAGATGAGCACCGCAACCCCAGAGTCGGTCACGACTGGACCTAATGGTCAGGGGTCCCTTTACCTTTATAACAGGGGCAGTACAGATATAGCAACAGTTAAAAAATATATAAATTGATAATAATAATAAATTTTATTTATACCCCGCCCTCCCCAGCCAAGACCGGGCTCAGGGCGGCTAACAACCAATAATAAAAACAAGTTGATTGAAATACAATTTGAAAAATAAAATTAAAATACAACATTAAAACATTAGGATACAGCCTCTTCACAGGAGGAGAAAGGAAAAAGAGGGGGGGGGGAATCAAACTGATTCTAAGCCAAAGGCCAGGCAGAACAACTCTGTCTTACAGGTCCTGCAGAAAGCAATCAGATCTTAGTCACTAACATATAACCTAAAATTATCATTTAAAACCTTAATCATTATGATAGCACAGCTTGTTCCCTAAGTTTTATGGCAATCGCACAGAATTTGGCTACCCTTAACGTGATCTCAGGATTCTTGTCCTCTACAGGCATTTTAGACACTGAAGTTCGGATTCAGAGTATAGGAGGCACTTACTAAATATTGAGCCGTATGGGTTCATACTGGGAGAGGTTGATAGCCTCACAACAGGTGCAATAATTTTGCACAAACAGAGCACATGATTTCATCCACCTGATTTGGGGTGATCATTCCCTCCTCCTGCAACCCCATATGATTCACAACGTTTGACAAGCCGTCAATTATCACGAGAAGCTTTCCAAGACGTACAGGGGGCTGCAGCTGTTGGTGGAGGAAGAAGGTCAACCTGTTACGTCGCACGACCTGGCCTTCTCCTAGTGCAACATCTGGGAAGGCGAAATTACAAAAACAACAGAGCATATTATCCCCAACACATATTGGGTGAAGGGAGATTTAAGGATCTGCTTTCTCTTTCCATGCTGCCTCGAAGGATGAGGCAGGAGATAAAAAATTTAAATGAATCAATAAATGAAAAAGGCCACTCACGAGTAGAAATAGAAGTGCAGACACAAAACATGATAATAAGCCTAAACTTTGATTAAGACTTGTAAGCTTACCGCTGTATGATTAAACATAGATATCCTGGCTCATAAATAAACAACATTTCAGACTGCAATAAAATCATTCATTCAAATCTCAATAATTCAATATCCATCCTAACATGTTTCTATATATATAACAATCAAGATCAGATACATGCCCACCACTTTAATGCATCAAAAATCAAATGGAACATATTTCCTCTGGGAGTGGGGGTGTAGCTGTTGATATAACTAATACATTTGTAGGGTGCTTTCTAGAGCCTATTCTGGTTTGACACAAAAAGTTGCCCTCATCCTTTTCTTCTTTCTCAAAGACTGGCTTTTCAGCTGGCCCCCAGGTCTCCTCTCAACACGCATTCAGGAGAGGAGAAAATAAAGTGAGGGTTCCTTTAAACCGAAAGAAATGCTAACACACTTTTGCTGGTGACATAAAGCAATGAAATATTACAATGTCACTTCCTTGACATCGCAGACCAAGGGGGCACAGTTGGCAATTTTCTGCTGACATCTCCAAGGATGCTATCGAGGGATTGAGTCGCCTGAAACTACTCAAACAAGACCAAAAGCTATTCTCCTCTCCCAAACAATTCCCCGAGCCAGAATGATGTTGTTTTCTAAGACCAGGATCCAAAGTAGAAAGTTGACCCAATGCAATTTTCATTATAAGAAACAAGGCGACTCAATAACTGATGCTCTGAAGAGGTTGGATACTAAAGCTGGGGTTCAAAGAGTGGTTTTAGGTACCCCCCCAAAAAAGCTTATCTCTATTCAGTTACATTTGAGGCCTTGGGTAGCCAAAGTGCATCCTTCAAATGTTGTTGGACTACAACTCCCATACTGTCTGGCCACTGGCTATGCTGACTGGGGCTGGTGGAAACTGGAGTCCAGCAACATCTGGAGTGTACCATGTTGGTGACGTCTGTGTTAGATAATTTTTTAAAATATATATTTTAGTATTTAACAGGCTACATACCTCACACCAAGCACACATCATGTCTATAACCAGCTCTTGAATTTTATCAGTATTTGCTACACGATGCTGTGTGTGTTTGCTGCTCAAGATACAATTCTGAAGCCTTCAAGAACAAATGATAGACATATTTGGATTCTGGAAGTCAAGATTGGCCCAATATCTCCTCCCTTCCTCATGTGGAGAACCTTGGCACCAGTGTTTCCCAAACTTGGGTCTCTAGCTGTTTTTGGACAACAATTCCCACCATCCCTGGCCACTGGCCATACTGCCTAGGAATGGTGTTAAGTTATAGTCCAACAACATCTTGGAACCCAAGGTTGAGAAAGGCTGCTCTAGATGTTTAGGTCTACAATTTCTATCAAGCTGGCTGAGGTTGTTGGAACTCATAGCTCAAATAGTAGGGCAGAACAGTTATGTAGGGCTATCCCAAAGTTCCTTGTGCTTTCTATGGTAGAAGTAGTCATATTTACTGTGAAATGGGGAAAGTATTCTAATTTTTGCAATTTTTGCATAAAGAAAAAAATATTTTGGCTCCTTCACCTTAACTCTTCTCTGTATAAGTAGCATTGTCCTCAATGAGGTATGTAGGATACACTGGCCCAGTTCACACATGACACTAATCCAATCCAAACCATGGTTTAACATGAATCAGGAAATGTGTGGGTTCCCAGAATGAAGACCATGACTGCTGCACTCAGCCCTTGGTGCTGCTTCTTCACCAACTGGGTTTGAACTTAAACCATGGCTTAGCCGGATTGTAGCCACTGTGCTGCTCCTCTAGTCCTGCCATGGTTTGACTTAGCATTATGTCTGAACCCAGGCTCATGGCTTGTCTTGCTCTAGATAACCCACAAGCTATAAGCAATATTTGTTCTTGGTTTACTGTTTATGGTTTGCATGGGGGATACAAACCATGACCCTCAGTTTGGACATACGGTGGTACCTCGGAAGTCAAACGGAATCCATTCTGGAAGTCCATTTGACTTCCCAAATGTTTGGAAACCAAAGCGCGGCTTCCGATTGGCTGCAGGAAGCTCCTGCAGCCAATCGGAAGCCGCAGAAGCCACAAGAGACGTGTGAGTTCCAAAGAACATTCGCAAACCAGAACAATCACTTCTGGGTTTGCAACATTCAGAAGTCAAAACATTCGACTGGCAAGGCGTTCAACTTCCAAGGTTCGACTGGAATGCTAAGCCAAATTCTAAACCATAGCTTAGCCTCAGGTAGTGTGGCAGCATCAGGGCCAGGAGTGGAGAGCTATGGCTATGAGCTTCACTCCAGGAACCTAAACATTTGCTCATTTGTGCTAAGTTATGGTTTCGCTTAGTGCTGCGTGTTAACTTGCGCCTGAAAACTATTTGAATAAGCCTCTGTATGTCATTTTTCCAGTCGCAAGAAACCTAGAAATGCCATAAAAATTAATCTAGCACTTGATATTTTGAAGCTCTTTTCCATTTAAAATTCTATAACTCATAACATTATTGATTTATGGGAGGGTGTGTGGCATAAACTTTATTTTTCAGCAAGTGCATTCTGCTTAGAGAAATGCCTAGATAAAGCTCACCAGGGAATAGAGAGCAAGCAACGCTTCGCACCTTGCCCTTTGTTTAGATTGTCAGTTCTTCCTTTTGATCTCTCTTCTGCACTTGAAAAAAACCTAAAAATTGATTTTCCCAGATGAGCGAAAAGTAGAAAAGGGACGATGTTTTATTAAAAGATTCTTCATTCTCCCCACAAACTCTTATTTCCTTATTTATACACAAAGAATACCAATCATCTTTGTTGTTTTGGGAAACTCGATTACAGGAAAGAAATGCTCTCAGAAATTCATTCATTGCAGAATAATTCACAGAACAGCTGTTTCTAATCACTCAAAGTTGCCTCAATGTGGAGATTTTTTTTTAATATCTCAAAAAAAACACACAAAATGAGCCTTGTAATGGCATTCAAAACAGAATCTCAAAAGAGAGAGAGAGAGAGAGAGAGAGAGAGAGAGAGAAAGAAAGAAAGAAAGA